TCAATGGTGCTGTCAACTTTGGAAAAAGTTATCCTAATTTACTGTGTTGAGTTGGCATTGTACAGAAATGGACAGCCATATTGGTCTAGAAATGTTAATTTTTTTATTTTTATTTTTTATTTTTTTTTCCATTTGTACAGGGGTAACGGACTGTACTAAATATGTAAGGTCATATCTACTTGGGTTTGATTACAGAAACTAATAAAGTACTCTCTAAATAATGAAAAAAATAAGACTACAAGAGCAAGAAGCAATTTAAATATGTTCAGGGACCATTTTCATCTTCAGAATTAAGAATTATTTTAATCTTACATCATTGCTTTTTCTTTTACTTTCCTTTTTAGTTTTATTTTAGGATTCCCTATTTTTAATGTTCATACAGAGATTTCTTTAACTGAAATACCGAAGTTTCTTTGGTGTGAAAAACAATAATAGTACACAGGATCCTAATGAGATAATTAACAATGTGAAATAGGAAGTAAAAGGCTAAAGGTGTAGGGAAAGTGGGAAGGGTGGGGGAAAGGTAATAAGGAAGAGGAAAAAAAATAAGAGAAACTGAAAAAATGGAAATAAAGTGTTTGTAAATGGAGAGGGGAGGAGGGGGTGAAGGGAGGGCAGGGACAAGGGGAAGAAATGAGAATCAAGACCTATTATGTAAAGGTACAGAATCCCAGTGGTGAATGTAACGTATTGTATACCTAGATCGTACCAATAAACTCAAGAAAAAAAATTAAAAAAAAATAAAATTTTACTTTGTTAGCTCAAATGAAAAGCCTCTTCCTACTTCTGATAGTTAATAATTGAGTATGTCAATTTGAGTAAGAAACACCCGACCAAATTGGTTCAGTATAGTTCTAGGTGTGGAAGACCGTGGTAAGGTGGACTGATACCAGAATGCTATAAAAGGGAAATGAAGGATTCCTTGTGTGTGTGTGCATGTGTGTGTGTGTGTTTTGGCAGCAGGAGTGTACACCAGGGATCGAACTCAGGACCTTGCACCTGTGAGGCAGGCGAGGCACCACTGAGCTAAATCCCCTGGGCCCCATTGCTTCAATTTCTTCAGAGGAACTCGTCTTTGCTTTCAACTTGGACATTGTCTCCTGGCTCTGGGCGCAGACTGTTCAGCCTCCAGCATGGAACCTTCAGCTTTTCCATTGCAGACCCTTTAGCCTCATGATACAGACTCTCACAAGACACTACACAGAGCTGTAGGCCTTCGACTGGATCCCGAGGATCCCCAGTACACAGACTGACCTTTTGTACTCTTTACACACGACTCTGGGTAGCCAACATAAGCCAATCTGTAAATTCTTATATATTTGTATATCTTGTATTAGATCTGTTTCCCTAGTAAGCACTTATACTCTTCTCAAATTCGAAGACAGTGTAGCGATCACCTGATCTTTCACCTACTCTCTATATTTTTCTGTTAATAATTTCTCCTCCCTTGGGGAATGCCTTTCCTGATCAGTCAAGAAGGTGACCCAGTATGGGCAAAATCAAAGAATTCAAAAATTTTCCAGTTTTCTGTCACTGGTTATAATGAAGTAAGCTGGAAATGTCAATTGATACTATCCATCATCCTTGCTTCCTTGTCCTTCAGGCAAGAGGAAATCTTCCTGGATAAGAACATCAGTTGGTGGTGGCGGGGATAAAGCAGGGTGTGGGGTGTGGCAGGATGACTTTCTAGTGTTTGGTACAGTCATGCTCATACTTCCCTGAATATGAACCAATAAACTGACCCTCGTGCCAAGGTGAGTTTACATTTCTCCTGCTTGGAATGGAAGGATGATTGGTTAGTAATTAAAGGTGCATTAACAGTTGCTGGCTGAGTAGCTTACTGTTAGAGCACTTGACTAACCCAGAGTTTAAACATCAGCACTTGGAAGAAAAAATACATTGTCTACTTGAAAATAAACTTAACACATTTTAATGCAATAGTATACAATTAAATAAAAGTAGACCAACATTAAGTCAGGTGAAATACATGAGATAATACAAAAGTGATATTAAATCAGGTACAATACATAGTATAGGACAACTTAAACAAAATGTATAAAGGAAATGATAAACAAAATGTAAAATGAAAAACATGTTTTTGACACTGAAATCTGAATCTCACTGTCTGCTACAGGCAAACAAACTGGCCGAACAGGCTCGTCTAATACTTTAGAATATTAAATATCTAATATAGCAAGACTAAGTTCTTATAATAGGAACAGGTGCAAATTTCGTTTACTGTATTGCTAGTAATCCCACGTGTGATAATTAACAATTTGAAAAAAGCCTAGAATCTCTTTGAAACCAATTTTATTTATTTTTCTCATTGAGTTTATTGGTACTTTTTAGGTGTACAGTTATATTCATCATTGGGATCTTGTATTTTTACATGACAGGTCTTGGTTCTCTTTCTTCCCCCATACTCCTGCCCTCTGAAACCAATTTTAAAAATGAGGCCAAGTGGAGCTTTTCTCTTCTTAAAATGTGATTCATGAACAAAATGCAGGATGTTGAACTTAACATGGATCAAGGAGTTTGTTTATATATCAGAATTTGTAAGGAATCCAAAAGGGAGAGAGCCTCTCTAAAAAGAAACTAAGTTTTAGTACTACCAACTTGTAGGGCTCCCAGTGAATTATTCTAACTTCACTTCCTCCATGCCTATTTACTAAAATATATATTTATTATAATCCTATGTGAGTGAATGTGCATGTAAATCAAATGAGCTGATATTTATGTGAACTCTGCTAGTTAAATTCTTTCCTAAGACATAGCTCCTAACTGAAAAGTCTAACAGAATTCTAAAAAACACAGATGGCAAAGATGCATCAGATCACAAAAGACCTACCCCGCTTTTATTTTCTTCAGCAGAAGTACAGGATTAATTCTTTTGGGTTTTGTTTAGTTTTCAATTTAAATTCTAGAAGGGATGGAACTCAACATTTTTCTTGGAAATGAGACGACATCATAACACATTTCACTTTTAGGAAATTCCTCTCCACCCTGACATTCAGATCACATGTTACTTTTGTGTACTTTATTCCCACTTTTCCTAACAACTCTGTGACACAGTTGATTCAACTCATCGTATCTCTTGCCTGTTTCAAGAGGGCTTTTTCACTTTTGGATTAAATCTGAATCCCCTGAAATCCAATTTAACTGACTATCTCGTAATAATGTAAACTAAATAATTCTACATAAATTACCTCCCATATCAGATTTCTCAAATTGCTTCACAAAATAAATATATTTCTCAGATTGCAGGGGCTGCTTACCCTGGCACTTTAAAAATTTTTTATTTTGTGATAGGATCTCACTAAACTCAGCCTGGGCTCAAACTTGCAATCCTGTCTTGCTTCAATCTCCTAGGGGCATAGGCCTGTGTCACCATGCCAGGCCCCACTGGTACTTTTATACAATGGTCTTTTAGTCGCTATTGTCTTTGGAGTCTCTTCTCCAGTTTCCAAGTTACTTGTGCATTTGTGTTGTGCAAACTTCTCCTGCATGCATTTTATAACTGTTTATATTTCTAATCTTATTTATTTTGGTATCAGGGATTGAACTCGGTCCTTGTGCTTGCACGGCAGGCAGCAGAACTACTGAGCTAAATCCCTGGCTCTATATCTCTAATCTTTGTAAGACTCTTTAATGTCCTTCGGTTTTTGTCTAGAATTTGTTCCAATTACAAACTAAAAATGAATTTCATTAATGTCCAATTGCATCAGTTTTTTAACCATTAAGTACACAGATGGAATACAGATGTAGTAATCTTTTATAGTCATATTGCTGCTTCATAACTGTATAAATTCCAGTAAAATTAGCAAACTGTAAGCTTCCATAAGGTATAAATCAAACCATGTATATGCACAAATAAATACATATACATTTCAATAAAACACTGATGAATTCCCAGTGTTTTCTTTTTCCTTTAGTTATTGCTGGATTCATCAAGCTATTATACCAAACTGATCATCACAATATCTCTGCTTGTGTGGTAATGAAAATGGATTCGGAATGAGAAGCAGCACAGAATTCAATAAGACACATTTAACTCTGTGAATAACAAGAGTCAAATTTGTTAACGGTGATTGTTCAAATAACGGCTAGAGCTGCTGATTTTCTGAACTTAATATAAGAAACAGTAGTTCAGTACTGAGTCAGCAAGAAGACATTGTACTGGGAGTTTCCCAAGTACAAAGACTGGTTTAAGAGGGATAAGTTGCAAATAAATCCCAAAGTCAGGAATAGGCAACTGCTATTTTCTCCTTGCCTAGACGGTGCACAGCATGACAGTTCTCTTGAGTGAGGTTCCATTAAAGAGAAGGGTCATTTAACCAAGGTTGGCTTGGTTTTGAGTCAAACTAACAAATAAAACATTTTCAGCCTACAGAATTAAGCATATTAAAGGCTATGCTGAGGTGCAAAAAGGGTTTCACACTATAAAACGGGGGCCTCAGAAGTCAATTAATTTGAGTCTAGAAAATGTTTCTGTTAAAAAAAGTTTGTATTATTTACTTTTCAGATAAAAACTTCTCATTGCCCACTGATAATAATCTAGCCGTCCAAGAGTCCATCAATGTATAATCGTCTGCAACTGCCTGGGAATTTTCATCTTCTTTCAGAAGAAGTGCTCAATTTTCACTGCCAAGGTTTTTGGTAGGTTCACTTTTTACTGGAAAAAAAAAAAAAAGTAAACATACAGTCAAATGTTTATACTGTTTCTATTTATCCTGTTCTGTTTTTCCTCCATTCCTTCTCCCTTCAGATGCATAGCAACAGCACTGCTCAAGGGAAAGACAAACCATGTCATGTCCCAGGCAGCTGGGATATACAATTCTGGCCATAATAAATAAAGAAATGATGTCTGAAAGTGGCAATTATATTTTGTGAGTTAACATCCTTCCTGACTCTGTGGAAGACTTGGGAGTAGACACTCACAGTGTGGTTATGATCCCATGCTCACACAACTGAACAGATCACTATTATCACATAGGCTGGCCATATGTGGTTGGAATCAAATTTTCCATGATTTTCTTCTAAACTTAAAATTGAGGGTCACTATACGTTGAATGAATGTGGGTTGACACAAGACTAGCCAGACAATGGGCATTTCCTTCCTTAAATAGGAAAAGACACAGAACAGAAATGGAGTTCCTTGAAGTTTCTGTCATGCTGATGACACAGAAGACTAAGTTTGATTCACTCACTAAAGTAATTTCCTTGAGGATAGGACGTGAACCTTCCCCCTCTATACCTAGCTCCACAGCAGACTGTATCTGCAGAATCAATATAACTACAAGTCACCTTAAATTTTTTTTCAATTGACAATGGGAGCCAGAGTAAATGTTCTATTCATTTCACTGTCATGAAGCTATAAGGCCATAATATAATAAAATATTTAAAAAATCATTAAAATTAAAATATATTATTATTCTGCTTAAACTTTATGAAAGCTGATGGCAGAATCAAACTTATACTTTTGCCTTGTATTTCAAATCACAGGTTCTTTGGGGTTTGCTCAGATTTTGGATTGTATCAGCAACTAAAACAGTGTTAACTGAGGCCTCTGAGTAAGGCACTAGAATAAATCTCGTCTAAGAGACAATCCCTGCCTTTGAGGAATTAATTATATAAACTCTAGCAGAATTGTTAAGGCTTCTGTGATAGTAGTGTTTTCCTCCTCTCACTACCTCCGCACTTTACCTGAACTCTATCCCAGTACCCATGTACTGTAACATCAGGTGCCTGATCCCCTGCCCTACACCACACATACTGAGAGGGAAAGGATGAAAAGAGGGGTAAGGAGGAATGACAGCAGGCGAGACAGGGAGCATAAATCCAAGGGTTTACTGGCCCAACGAGAGACAGATGTATGAGAAGATGCTAAGCCAGGTATTTTCACTAATTCAAAGTAATCAATTTAGGGTTGGTTTTGGGTAGATGCATTTTCTAAACTTCAGTTATTTTAAAACATTAGAGAAATACATTTTGCTGATTTAAAAAAATTAATATGGCTTTATAGCACTATAGGGAACATTCTCCCTTTTCTTTATTAAAGCTGCGTAATTTTCTTCTAATACGGTTCTATTCTTTTTATCTACAGACTGAAATGTGACATGCTTTATCAAGTTGTTTAACTTTGGCAAACAAGAGCCTGTGAAGCAAACTCCTGAGCACTTTCCACTGTGTTAATTCCAGGAGGGTAACCAGAACTCTGCATCTCCAATCTAGTGGGCTACCTTAGCTGTTTCACATTTATAATTAGCCTTTTCCATTCCTAAGAAAGAAAACAAAAGAAAGGAAGAAAAGAAAAAGATCTTGTCTACTGCCAAGTAATACAGGCAGACTTTTGAAAAAATAAATTATGGCAATCTATAATCATAACAAACATTATGACAACCATCAAGTGTGGAAACTACTGAATCCCAGCCCAGAAACACATTTTTCTCCAAACTAGAAAAGAGACACCTTGTACTATGAACTCAGGATCAAAATCCAACTTTTTTTTTTTTTGCTTCCAGACTGGGAAAGAATTTCAACGCTTTCCAAAGAAAATGCTTTGTTCTTTTACAATCCCCCTCCTCATTAAGGGACCACCCTGTAGGATGTCAAATGTTATGGAATTGCACAAAGATACAGGCACCCTGAAGTGCTTACAGAAAGAAATGCATGTACAGGAAGGCCTGGCATTACTGTTGAGGTGTATGTATTACTTAGGATGCAACAACTCTGGTATGATCCTAAATCTGTCAGATCCTGCTTAGTTCTTTAGTACAGCAGTTGTAAATAATCCTCTGTGTACTGAAATCACAAGTCACCTGTGTTCCAGTAAATAGACATCATAAACTTAGCAGAAAAAAAAGAGCAAATTTTACTTAAGATTTAAGAGCACTATCATAGTAGTATTTCAGCTTCACTGCAGTCTTACTTGTGTATTCTAAAAAACGGTGAAAGAGGAGCTGTGTGTGATGTGTTTGTTTACATAGACAATGTTTGCCTTGGCTAGCAACTCACATTACTAAACAACTTTCCCTGAAACTAACGTTTAGAAAGAGTGTTATGGACTAATATTAAAGAAAAAGTAAGGTTTCAAAGTTTAAAAATGTAAAACCACTCATTTAAAACTGAAATTACTAATTTCTTTTAGTTAAAAAATAAAATGGGATATTCTCAAAGTCAAGAATAAACAGCAGATTTACAGGCTCATATCTTATTATTTAAAATTTCATATTTGCTAATTAAAACCTAGTTTCAAGTCATAGCACAAACAAAATTTTAGCAATTTTGTAACAAATCTCTTGTCCTAACTTTTGCAAAGGGAAAAAAAGTGTATATAGAACATCCTACAACATAGGATACTGCCTGTATGGTCTCTAATGCTAGTGTAACAATAAAATTTGAACCAAGCATGTCAACAGTATTTAAAAAAAAATAGAGATCAATCCAAAATTCCTAAGTTCCTATGGTGTTTATTATGTTGAAATTTAGCCTGTCTTTGTATTTCTTAGCTGGAAATGGTATTGTTTTAAGGATCCTAATGAGATAATTAACAAAGTGAAATAGGATGAAAAGGGCTAAAGGTGTAGGGAAAGTGGGAAGGGTAGGGGAAAGGGAATAAGGGAAAAGAAAAAAATATGAGAAAATGAAAAAAATGGAAATAAAGTGCTTATAAATGGGGAGGGGGGTGAAAGGAGGGCAGGGGTAAGGGGAAAAAATGAGAACCAAGACCTGTCATGTAAAGGTAGAAGATCCCAGTAATGAATGTAACTGTACTGTATACCTAGAATGTACCAGTAAACTCAATTAAAAAAAAAAAAAAAAAAAAAAAGAAATCTCCCTTAACTTTTAAAATAATTACTGAATTTTGTTCATTCTCTAGAATCTTGCATTCTAAAATATGATTTGCTTAATCAATAGTTGTAAATATGGGCAAGTTGTTTTATACACTCAATCTTTGTGTATACATTTAATGCTTCTCCATAAGGCCAAGGAAACAAAATCAAGGAAACAAAACTAGTGATTTTAAAAAAAAAGGAAGATAAAGGGTCAACACAACGGTACTAGCTTAGGCTAAATAGAGCCAAAATTTTACACATGCTCCTTCCCAACATTATCCTTTAAAAACATCGTTTATTCTTCATTTTAGGAATCTTTCATGAGTTTTAACTCAATTAATGCAAAAAGTGTCCTTTCATATCCAGACATTCAAATTTTATTCCTTTAAGCTTGACATTATATATTTACATGTTTTCAAGGAGGAGCAGTAGTTCATTCATTTGGTTCTATTGTTAACAGTAGCAACAGTAAATTCTCCTAACTTTGTAAGTATTCTGGTGGTTTTTTTTTTTGTTGTTTTTTTTTTTTTTTTTTTTTTTTTGTTGTTGTTATTTTTCTGGTACTGGGGATCAAACTCAGGACCTTGCGCTTGTGAAGCCTGGGGCGGAACCACTGAGCTAAATCCCAGGTCCGGGAAAATATAGTTTTTAAGAAAGAAACCAGTCACATAATTCCTTCAGTTACTCTAGTTATTCTAAGCACTGAAGAAACAAACTTCCGCTTACCTTGGTGAAGAAGTATCATGTCATTACTGGATTCTTTCAACACCACATATAATGTTGGGTATTCAATGATCACTTTGTTCCTCAAATTGTCAAGGAGACTTTTATGAGGATCCAATTCATAATACCTTATTAATAAAAAAGCAAAACAAAAATACCCTTAGTATTCCAAATTACTTATAAATAAAACAAATGCATATATCAGTCTCTTACATTAAAATTTTTTTTTACAGTGATGACATTACTTCAGTAGTTATTTCCTTAAAGTTTAAAACTAAGAAAACCAAGTAAAAGAACTATAATTATACATGTTCTAAAGTTAAATCAAGAGTGTATTAAGTATTTTGACATTAGGAAAGCTCTATAAGTCATCAATTTTCCTAACAAGTAAGAAATAAAGATTTTAATATCCACGTTTAACATGTCAAGAATTTTTTTTTACACAAAAGAATGACTATAAAAATTCAAATTCGTCAACTATATTTACTTTAAACCTTAAAAGAAAAACCAATATCTTACAATGATTTCTAGTAATGAATGCCAGTAAAATTTAAAATGGGCTACAAAATACTTTTGCAAAAAGCCAGTTCTAATTATAACTGGTTTCCAGAAATTTATATTACCATACAATTAAATTTTGGCTTTCCTTTATTTTGAAACTTAAAAAAAAATGGTTTTGGTTTTTGAATGAGGCAAATACAGAGTATATCAGTCACAGCCTCATGATATAACTTCTGTCACAGGAAATTAGGTACAAACGTTCATTAAAGTATAAAATGTTCAAGCTGCTACTTAAGTTTGAGTTGACTAAAGATGCATCTGCATAATATTTTCTTTTCCTTGCTTGTTGGGGGGTGGGTGGAGAGAAAGGGGTGGAATTTCAGCTAGCTCACTAGCAGTGGCATATGAAAATATGTTGGCATGTATCATTTGATGGCCAAGAAGAAACAGTTCAGAAGATATCCACCAGTGTAGTGCAGTTTTTCCAGCCTTTTTTTTCTTTCATTTCTACCAAGGACAGATACTATTCACTGTAAAACATCATCCGAACAATTGCAACTTCATTTTTTTCCCTCCAGCTCAAGAAAATACAAAGTAATACACAAGGATATACTTTTGAATCTGCGATCAGTAAACCATTCATAAACTTCTGTATTTCTTAATAACCATTTCCATGCTAACTCACACATGACCAAGACACACATATAATATACTTAATGAAGAACTCTGGTGTTCTGATTGATCTGTGTTCTCAGACTGTCCTACACAATAGCTGTCAAATGTAGAAACAGAAGTGCTTAAACATTTTGCAAAGCCAAGCCTATTACAAAAACTGACTCGTTTTTTAAAAGTAGGTGATAGATGAGAAAACTATAAAAACTCAAAATGTTACATATGCTTCTCTGATCACTCACCCTACTCATGGAACTTAAGTATTAGAACTGCAGAATATTATCCTGAAAAAACTTTGAAATGTAAAATTACTCAGTTTTCTAAATCAGCAAACTCAATGCCTATACACCATAGAATCCATACATCATTTTTCTCCCTGTGTAATGTAATACAGATGTGCTTAAAATACTTTAAAAGTGATCCCAGAATTCCAGGATTAAATGCTTTACAGCTTTTAAATAGTGTTTCTCTTTGAAGTAAGCAGTATTAAGAAATAGTAATTACACAAAAGAGAAAAATGAGATTATATTAAATTCTTGAGTACTACCTTACAAAGTAATATACAAAATGGGTGTCAATTTTTCTTAGGAGGAAAGAAGACCTGAATTCTCAAATGGAAACTTTTCAAGAAAGATCTTGCAAACACTTGAAGTAACTTCTGATTAACTGAAGCACAAGGCTTCTACTAGGAGACTTATTTCAAGGGAGTATTTTCTACTTACTGCAGTTTTTGATAAATAATTTTCAGTATGTACTTAATGTTTAGGTATTTTATGCTTTTTTGTAGTATTAAATCTGCATTGGGTTTCTCTAGATTTTTAAAGTGGAAACAGCAAGAAACAACAAAAAGACTTCTTAAAAGCTTCATGGAATTAGAATTTTTATTGTTGATATAGTTTAAAATATGTTCCCAGCTAAGGAATGTCCAAAGATACATAAAAATTACAAGTATGTAACAAGTTACACATGCTTTCAATCCTAAAATTAATGACTACATTCTTTTACTTAAAAAAATTTGGTACCTATTTTGTGTACCAAGCATGCACTATACCAAACACTTAGGATGTAAAGATTTTTAAGAGATTTGTCAACTAAAGAACCGGTTTAAAAATATTTTATTCAAGTGCAAAGAAAATCTGGTATGTGGAGTGGCTTAGATTAGATTCACTGGATTTTATTTAGTGCTTTCCCTAAAATGTTGCACTTTCAGTAACAGCAGTATCGCTATTGAGTGCCGTGAAGCGACTAAGCAATGCCTTCGAGCCGTTAAGTGAGAGGTCAGAGTTCACTAAAGACTCATTTAGTTGAAATTGTCAGGTTCTTGTATTTTTCTGTTACTAGTGGGTTATTCTTAATCTACAATTAACATTCATCAGTGATTTCAAAGTACATTATGGAAACTGCTGATAAGAAAAGCAGTCAGGGGTTGGAGATGTAGCTTAGGGACAGAGTGCTTGCCTAATTAATATGGGCTAGCCCTTGGCTTTGATCCCAGGCATCACAAAAGTGCAAAAGCTATCAAAGAAGAGGTTAACATTTAAGAACTTTGAATTTATTTAAATAAAGCAGTAACTTTTAGTGGTGGCATTGGGTTTGGAGTTTAACACTGAGTTAAAAAGCCCTGGCTACGTCATTTATTGGTCTGTGATTCTGGACAAGTTGCTTAACTTCTCTAATCCCTAGTTTCCAAGCTTGAAAATGATAGTGCCAATTTAGAAAGTTATTGCGAGGGATAAGGGATAAAACACAGAAACTACTAGGTCACTTATTTTAGCCATGAACGCATCAGTTTTTCATGTGTTTTTACCTAAAATAACAAATTTTCCTGCATCTGGGGACTGAACCCAGGGGTGCTCTACCACTGAACTACATCCTCAGTTTATTTTCAGAAGGGCCAAATTGACCAGGCCAACCTCCAATTTGTGATCTTCCTACCACAGCCTCCTGAATACCTGGGATTACAGGCCTGTGCCATGGTGCCCGCTGTGACAATACATTCTTATTAACTTTGGTTCAGGACAAAGCTACTGGATTTCTTTAGTAACAACAACTGGCATTTATTATGTAAGCACTGAAGCACATATATACCTTTATATTCATTTTGCATTTTAAGTATGGCTTTACAATTTTCAGTACACCTTCAAACCATTCTTTTATCCTGTTTACTTCCAGAAGTCAACAAGTACTTTGAATGTTTGTTTCCATTATCTTGAGGAAATTTTAAGAGTGCAGCTTTACACTGTCGAGAGCATTTAGCCTTTTGGTTCTTTGTAAGGCATTATGTCACTGCATCTTAAGGGATAGGTTATCTTTTAAAATTTTCACCAACTCTAGTATTTCCACTACTAGAATGACTCTGCTACCATAAGACAAATTGCTTAGGTTTGGAAGAATTAAGATATCAACATTTGTCTTCTCTTGTATCCTCAGGGACCCCTCAGATATTTCCTCTTGTTATTTCACTTGCTCGTGCTCACAGGCCTCAGTAACTGACCCTGCTGCAGGCAGCTTCACGGGGGCATTATGAGGGTAGCAGTAGGCCAAACAGGTGTTACAGCGACTGACATTATATAAATAAAAGTTGCCCTGATACTCAAGGGTGTGCGTCTAATGTTGGCTCTGTTACTAGCTTTCAAAGAAACTGGCCAAGTTTTTGAACTTCTTTTTCTGCAAATTAAGGAACTTTAAAAAAAATTCTTCATAGCTCAAAAGAGACAGACTAAAAAAAAAAGGTGAGGTGTCACAGATTACTTTATTTCCCATTTGACCAGTAAAACTGCTTGGATCATTGTCCCATTTTACTCTCCACTCCTATATTAAAACTAAGTTTGAATTTTTCCAAATTTAATAATCCAGTAGCAGTCCCAAGGCCATAGTGTTATTAAACGACAAAATAAGACATGATCACCAAGATCCCTCCAGCTCTAAAATTCTGTAATTGTTGATACTTATCTGTGAAAGGTAGCATTTAACCTACCTACTAGTATTATTATATTGATTTTTTTCAATGTAGTTTTCTGGGTTAAAAGTGCAACTACCTCACAAAATGCAAACCTGAACATTGGCTTAAAAAAACAAAACAAAACAGCACAGGATAAATCAAGTACACTATTACATGATGGTTAAATGTTTTTCAACTGTGGTTCATTCTTGCATAATAGAAATTAGTAAGGCCACTGAATCAATTTTATAAGCTAAATAGCTCATATTCACATTTATCAAATACCTTTAACAAAATTAAAAGTACTGCTTTTATTTTTTTTAATTTAAAAAAAAATTTTTTATTTTTTGATGTTTTGAGACAGGGTCTGACTATGTAGTTGAGACTGAACTGGAACTCACTATGCAGCCCAGGCTGGTCTTGAACTCACAGCGATCCTCCTGCCTCAGCCTCCCGAGAGCTGGGATTACAGGTGTGCGCCACCATTCCCGACCGGAACAGATCTTATCAAAGTTAATTTTTTCTTATACAATCTCTTAGCTTTCATATTAAAAACACAGTAATTGAAATAAATGAATGGCTGAACTTAGGGATTTTTTTTTTGTATCCACATAACTGAGGATTACATGTACTAAATATGAAGTATAGGTCATTAAGATCACCAGTACAAATCTATATGTTAATTTACAGAGCTCAACAGCTCAGAACTGCACTGGCAGATTATCCTAGCCTAACTATGACATGAAAACTATGGATAGAGCTATGAAATGACCAATTGGGTATATCAAAACACTTTAACAAGGAGCTTCCAAGTTCTGACTTGTTCTAGATGTTAGTACTCTGGGGTCTTTTCTGATCCTTACTGGTAAGTTCAATTACTTTTAAATCTAGAAGATTTGCGTTTTAGTCTTATCACTGGTCCTTATAAAATATGACTTCTCAAGTTGACTTAGTTTTCCTCATCAGTATAAGGATAGGAAAGGTATTTATGGGTTGTAAAGATTAAACAGATAA